ATGGTTAATGAACTGCGTTTGTATAGCAGTGTTTTAGTCTTAGTCAACCAATTCACTCACTGGGATCCGAGGCTACCTTACAAGGTGCTACTTGCTAATCACAAGCGATACATTTGAAGTACACTCATATGGAAATCGATTTGGGCTTTAGTATTTTGCTGCACCGATATTTTGACATGTACTGCAGGGGCCAGGGTTGTTACCACTAACCTTCTAATTAGTGGAGCCACATTTATTGTTCAGTGTTTCCCAAACATTGATTTATTTGTGGCGGGCCGCCACAAATAAATATCGTCCGCCAAAAATGGATCTCATAAAAAAAAAATATATGTATATTATTATTATTATTATTTTTTTTTTTTGTAGTCTAATGGATAGTGAGGTGTGCTGATGATCGGAAGGTTGCGAGTTCAAATCCTGCCTGGAACACCACTACTAGTGTGCCCTTGAGCAAGGCACTTAGCCCTCGGTTACTCCAGGGAGAATGTCCCTGTAATTGGTCATTGTAAGTCGCTTTGATTACAGGGACATTCTCCCTGGAGTAACCGAGGGCTAAGTGCCTTGCTCAAGGGCACACTAGTAGTGGTGTTCCAGGCANGTAGGTAATGTTATATGGTACCATAAAGAGCAATTAACAAATATGGGCTTGGCATCTCCTGGCTAGTAGTAGCATGAAGAGGGAGAATAACGATAATGATTCAGTCAAAGGCCCCTTAACCTATTCGGGTGGTCCATGCATCCACCCCCCCCCCTCAAATAAGATAATGCATGCGAGTTCATGGCTGCTGTAGACAAATTATCTTATTTGAGGGGGGGGGGTGGATGCATGGACCACCCGAATAGGTTAAGGGGCCTTTGACTGAATCNACCATGGCTGTGGGGCCGGAAACCATGGACCGCTGGGGCCGGAACCATGGCCGCTGGGGCGGAAACCATGGTGCTTGGCCGGAACTGGGTCTGGAACCATGGCCGCTGGGGACCAGAACCGGGGCTGGAACCATGGCTGTATGGCCAGTACTGGGGCCGGAACATGGCTGCTGGGGCCAGAACTGGGGTCGGTGGAAACCATGCTGGTGCGAACCATGGCTGCTGGGGCCAGGAAATGGGGCCGGAATCATGGCTGCTGGGGCCAGAACTAAGCGGAACCATGGCTCTTGGGGGCTCTGGTCGGGCTGCTAGCCTGGACTTGCCGACTCCCTCTCTTAGGAGCCTTTTGGAGGATCCGTTAGACCTCCAAATTGCCGACGAGTTCCAGAGAAACGGCTCCTGGACAGGAGCAGCGAACTTGGGGAAGAAGCAGAGCTTGACTCCAGACGGAACCACAATGCGCGTGGGTGTCAAAATGGGAATTTGGAGGCAGGGAGCCAGCATGCCCGGGCCAGCAGGCAGGGGTAAACAAACGAGAGGAAATCAAAATCCGCTAGGTAGTGAATTTCACCGAAGTCTGGTTTCTCCATAGTGGTGGCGCGCCTCCTACCAGAGAAGCCTCTCGCAGCTGAACCCCGGACGCTCCCCTCCATCTATCAGAGCAGTTAGCCAAAAAAAAAGGAAAAATCCCAATAATTCCTTGCTCAAAAGATCTGCTGGGCCCCAATATCTGGTTGGTTCATTCTGTCAGGGTTGGGGAAAATAGACCCAAATGCAGAATGAGGGAGGAAACAAAAGCGAGCTTTATTCAACAAACTGAACAAAAAAACAAGAATCCAAAAAACAGGTACAGGTAGCATCCCATACAAAGGTGACAGAGACCAACATGAAGGGGGAACAGGAACGACAAATAATGAACCAACACTGAACACAGGAAGAGACAAGAACTAAATACAGAGGAGGGTAATCACAAGACGGAGAAACAGCCGGGCAGGGGGAGGGAGAAACACAAGGGCTCACAGGTGAACCAACAATCAGACAATTAGACACACCAGGGAAGCTAACGACAGGGAGGAAAAACACAGGAGAAGGACCAAACAATATAACACGGAGGGAAAACACCCACTAACCCAGACATACAAAACTACAAACGTAGACAAACATTGATGCAATCCTGACAGGTTGCTTTGTAAATGTAATTAGATGCCTGAATAGTAAGGCCTACCCAATGTAAGGAATACTCTGTGACAAGTTCACGATTTACTTTTGAACTTCGACGCGAATTTTCGCAACTAGTGACACTCTAAAACTCCTTCTTCCGGCAATCAGAGAGTGGAACTTGCTACCAGAAGAAGTTGTCATCGCAGAAACCGTGGAGTGCTTCCGGCAAATTTTAAGAGACATTTAGCGGGGATCATCCATCCCCCACTGAGCGTGATACCTCTGGGTTCAGTATTAATCCAGATCCAGATCCAGAATTGTAGTGGGGCAGAAGTACAAAGAAGCAAACATTGAAATAATCAAGTAAAGTTCCTCAAAATGGTACTAAAGTGCAGTACTTGAGTAATGACTTAGTTACTGAATGAAACCCATCATAAATAGTCGACCGTGTCCATTTTCACCACAGAATGTATTGTATTAATTACAAAAAAATGTAAATGATCAATTTAAGCCAGTGTGAGATACGACAAAAAGTATGTGGGATTTTAGGTTTAAGGTTAGCCTGATTCTGATTCTGGTTGCAATAAATAACTTTGTTATATATTTTATATCACTTTAAAACTATGCTCTTACCATGTAATACAACCTTAGCCCTGCAAAAAATTAGTTTTTTTGTGAAACTTCTATAGTTTTTTTTACATGAAATTGTGAAAGTTAAGAAAAATGGACAGGGGGTTGTATAATGAACAATTACATAAATAGTGTGCTTGGCACAGAAATAATTCTGACTGTAGCATGAAAAAGCAAGTAACGATAATAATTAACCATTCTAACGATTGCCATTCATGCAATAGATAAAGCTGACAGAGAGTCCAAAGTTAAAGTGTGTGAATGGGAATTTCCAAATGCAATTGCAAAGGTTGTTGGGGATGAATAGGGTGAGACGGCACAGACACAAGTCTAGCTTTGTGTCTAATCTTAGAAATATATGAACTATGTTAAAACTGGTGATCTCAAAGGTTTTGGAAGAAGGAGAAAAAAAAGTCATGACTTTCTTTCAGTTCAGCTGCACCATTGCAGTAACGGTCAGTTTATTATGTTTTGCTCTATAATGTTTATTTCTCAAACACAAGTGGAAAAGAGAAAGACATGTTTCTTTTTGGAAATAATTAATATTTATTAAATGTATTTATTGTAGTATATTTAGGTTGCCAATGTAGAAACAAACAGAAAAACATCTTTTAATAACAAGCATTGCTTTCTGATGTACACTTTGGAACATATTAGGTGCATGTCATTAATGTGTGTTGTGTAACAATCCGGATTGTATCTTTAACCTGTTAAACCCTGAGCCTGTTTTTCAGGTCTCAGGCTCGAAAATGACATTCCCAGAACAAATGACCATATCTTCACTTCTAAAAGGGGTAAATTAATAATCTTTTTTCTCAAAGCAAGGTTACATCTGTGAGTTGGATGTAGAAGTGTCAGAATCAATATAGATGTTTTTATTTTAAAGTAAATTCAGATTGAACATAGTAAAAAAATGTAAATGATAGTGTCCGTCCAAAAGAAAAAATTACTTATAGTGAAAACCACCCTTGAATGATGGGAGATAGACTAAAAGCTTTAGGAATCCAAACGATCACATATAATAAATACCCTGTATAACAAGTGACATTTGACCTTTTTTAGAGAGGTTTAAAAGAAAAGAAAAAACTTCTGGGGTCATTTGTGTGTATTTTCCATATCTCTGGCTCCCCTCGTTCGATTTTGAAGATTGACATCTCTTTTTAACCATTAGAGCCAATAGAATCGAGGGGAAGTTCCTCAAATCCATCTGAACATTACCCATTGGTGAATGAGTGATGCGCTGCCAGAATGCCCCGGAACCGGAAGCTGCGATACACTCTGGTGGCTTTCATTAGCAGCTAATATGAAATCTCCGTTTTTGACATAAAAATTGAATGATGGATTATCAGTAATTATTTCAAAGTGACACAGACACATTGGATTAACCATTGGATTAACCTTCAGCATCGTTTTTATCATTGTCATGCCATTGAACACAACTTTTGATCAGAATAACAGCTAAAGTGAGGCGATCTCCCTTACGTGTTGTGATGTCTGGGTTTGCTTCCCCTGTCGCGAGTTCTAATCGCTCAGAGATTATACTGATATTTCTGGAATCTGTGGAATCTCAGTTTGCTAATCGCTGGATTGGATGTGCAGTTACGATAAGTAATAAGGGTATTTATACCATGAGTTCTGCGCTAACTGCGTTAGCATTTTTTCGCTCAGGGCTCATTTAGACGCTTCTTGTGAGACTTGTGCTTTGTTTCGGTAAGAATGGTTCATATCTTCAGTTTGCTGAGTTTCTAACCGTTAAGTGTGTATGACACATTAATATGTTTTTAAATATTAAGAAGCCCTGAGACACAGTTTCATGAAAAAACTACCCACCAGACCCGGATTAGGGTCCTCTCTGGCTTAACAGGTTAATTCTATTATCCTTGTGTGAATCTTTAGTGCCCTGTTTTCCATTCTCTATCTGTTGCTGCTTTAAACTCCTGAATTTCCCCACAGGTATTAATAAAGGTCCATCTTTTCTTATTTTATACACTTTCTCAACCATCACAAATATACACAAAATAAAAGCATTCAGTGATTGAACTATAAAATACCTTTGACTTGTTTTGCCATGCAGTGAGTAAAGTAAATCATTACATCAATAAAATCAATATAACCCTGACTTGATCCATAACATACAGATAATAAAGTTCATCCACAGACCATGGTCTCAGAATAGAAACAGAAAGGTCTTTGGAATAACGGTAGATCATCGGTCTAGGATCTTACTGAGAGACCTGGTTCCTGTTCCAACTTATCCATAAAGGGAAGTTAAGACTTGCTTGTACAGCACTTTTTGATTTTCTTTTCATGCAGACGCCACTGTAAAGACATACACTTGCAGCATGAACCACTTGACCGATCTGCCCTCTTCAGTGGAAATGGACCCTGAGGAGTTTGACGGCTGGACAGTAGTTGTGTGTGTGATCCTGGGTCTGTCCTTCCTGATAGGAGCTCCGGGGAACCTGCTGGTGATCTGGACTATCCTGAGACATGTCAAGCAGCGCTCCCACACTGTGCTGCTCATCCTGCACCTGGCTGTTGCTGACCTGCTGGTCCTCATCACCCTACCTCTTTGGATCTACTCCCTGGCTGGCACCTTGGTGTTTGGAGGAGCCTTCTGCATGGCCTTGGTGTACATTGTCTATGTCTGCATGTTCAGCAGCATATTCTTTATCACCCTTATGAGTGTGGAACGCTATTTAGCCATCTGTCATCCATTTTTAATGATGCGCTGGAAGAACAAGAGCATTATGAACACATGTCTCGCACTTCTTTGGTTCCTCGCATTACTTCTAGGAGTGCCTGCATTACTGACCGCACCTATGGATGAAAGCGATGTAGCTGAGTCGTGTTTCATCAAGGAATTCAGCTCTGTGACTCAAGCGATCATCTTGTTATGTTTGGAGTCCTTGGCAGGTTTTGTAGTCCCTTTTGTCATTCTAAGTATCTGTTACTGTCTAGTAGCTGCCCAGCTAAGGAAAATGAATTACAATTCCAAACTAAAATCTATGTTGCTTGTGCACGCTGTGATGATAGCCTTCACATTGTGCTGGTTGCCTTGGCATATCATCAACATTATTGATATGGTTTGCATCCTAAATTCAGGCACAGATCATGAATGTGTGCAAGAGAGTGTTGTCTTCACCTCTGGAGCTCTTGTTTTTATCAGCAGTTCAGTGAATCCTATATTATACGTCCTCTTCGCAAGGAACTTACGAGGGAGTTTGGAGCGGTCCCCTCTGGTCAGGCTTTTCCAGGAAATGGTCACTCACACCAACAAACTCAGAGAGCTGGTAATACAACATCAGACAGGCCAGAGGGCAGCAAACACACAGTTGGAGCTGATGAGCGACTCAGAAACTAATTGAATCCCTGGAACTGTGATGCTGGGGAAACGTGACATTTTTATATTGCAGTTTATTATGGGACTATTCTTCATTATGAAGGCCTTTATACGATCGAAGGCCTTGAAAGACTGTACAGTATGTCACATGCACTTAATGCAGTCTCATCATAGAAACAAGCCTTCTCTCCTCACCTTCCCTTTCAAGGAAAGAAAACAAATGACAATGTGTTTTTCATTTTGATGGTCATATATTGATGTTTTGTTGAAAATCTTGAAAACATTCAATTTGATATGCTCTATGATTGTGATAAAGTGTTTTTTGTTTTAGAGTGAAGTCTTGTATTTCTTTAGTTCAGATTTTTCTTTCTCTAATCTTCGCAATTTTGTAGATGATTCATGAACTGTCATCATACATATTCTCCCAAGCCTTAATGTTGTTGTGTGCCATGGAGTTGCTCCCACATTACTTTTTAGTATGTGAGATTATGTATTTTCTGAGATCATTTCAAAAAGAAATTGTGGGTTTCTCTCTTACTTATTTGACTCATTTACTTACTTTTAATTGAGGTTGACCTTAGGTAAAAAGAAAAAAATGGGTGTATGACGCATGCATGAATCACCTCTCTGTGTCTCAAATAGCCATGTGAGGAAACCCCTTTCCTGAGCTGTCTATTCTTAAAGGGAAGTGAATACTTGCTTGCACAGCACTTTGTTTTTCTTTTCATGCAGACTCCACAGTCAGCACATACACTTACAGCATGAACCACTCGACCAATCTGCCCTCTTCAGTGGAAATGGCCCCTGAGGAGTTTGATGGCGGGACAATAGTTGTGTGTGTGATCCTGGGTCTGTCATTCCTGATAGGAGCTCCGGGGAACCTGCTGGTGATCTGGACTATCCTGAGACATGTCAAGCAGCGCTCCCACACTGTGCTGCTCATCCTGCACCTGGCTGTAGCTGACCTGCTGGTCCTCATCACCCTGCCTCTTTGGATCTACTCCCTGGCCCACTACTGGGTGTTTGGAGAAGCATTCTGCAAAGCCATGGTGTTCATGATCAACGCCTGTATGTATAGCAGCGTTTTCTTCATTACCCTCATGAGTGTGGAGCGCTTTGTGGCTGTGCGCTATCCGTTTGCCTCAGCTGGCTGGAAGAGAAAGAAAGCTTTGAATAAAGTTCTGCTGGTTCTGTGGACTGCAGCATTCTTGTTTAGCATACCTGTCATCCCAACTCAGGTGGTAGGGACAGATTCTGGTGAGGAGCACTGTCTGTACCGGCTGTACCATTCTGCGGCCCAGGAGCTGGGGTGTGTGCTGCTGGAAACCCTGGTGGGCTACATAATACCCTTCTTCATCCTCGTCGTCTGCTATGGCTGTCTTTGCAGCCGGATTACTCAGATGACCTTCAAGTCCAAGCGCAAATCCACTGTCCTGATTGCCAGTGTCGTGGTAGTGTTTGCCATTTGTTGGACGCCTCATCACATAGGAAATGTCCTTTCAGTCATCATCCTGGCCATTGCAAAATCCCTACCTCAGGCAGCAGAGAATCTGGAAAGTGTCAGGGACACCATGACCTTCATCGCTGGAGCCATGGTCTTCATCAGCAGCACTGTTAACCCCATCCTCTACATGTTCGCAGCTCGCTCCTTCAGGAGCTCTCTGAGGGACACCGGCATCCAGAAGCTCTTCCGTCATATCTCCAGCACCTCCCCAGGTGAGGGCACTAAAGAATTGTCCTTTGTGACCAAAAGACAGAGCAATCAAACAACCAACAGTTCTCACTGTGAGTCTGAGCCAAAAGACCAAATGGACATATTAATAAATATGTGCGAAAATAATCCATCTTGATATTTAAATTGTATGTAGTGTCTGTGCCGTCTGTATATTCATGTGCGTATTTTAAATGTATTTTTTTTAAAGAAATAAAGGGGATTTTTTCTGTGATTAAACTCATTTTGTATGAAATTACAACACAGAAAAACAGGAAGTGGAAGTGTATCTGTGCAATGCTTGTTCAAATCTGTAAATTACCTTTTTTAAATGTTGAAATTGTGAACATATATTTATAAAAATGTCCCATATTGTGTAGTTAAATGTTTGCGGTATAGTTTTCAAAAATTGCACAATAAATGATTCTATAAGCAATGGTCTCAATGGAAGCATTTTTTTATTTATAGCTTTGTTAATGCTAACAAAGGGAAATAATGATTATGTTATTGATTCTGTGTACATTTTTTGTAATTGCCTGTAATGTGGGAACAGAACACAGAAGGTTTTTATCTGATAAGGCTGTGGTTGTGTCGGACACTTCTTATTTTTTCTGAATTGCAACAGAGGAATATTTCACTCACAACCACAGTGTTATTGTGAACTCATGTAACAAAACAATTTATGTTGTAATGTAAAATTCTCCTCAATTGACCATTTTATTAATCAAATAATCCAAAAGGTACAACTTCTTAAAAATGGTTTCCACTCGTGACAAATGAGCAAACAATTGTCCTTCTTTCCCACTAGAAACAAAAGTCAAACCTTCAACTTCCTCAACATGAAAAGATTGCAAAATGAACAACTGCATGTTCCCTTTGCTGAGCAGCAAAAAGCGGAATCATGTCTTAATGTTTGTCACAGTCTTATAAAACTAAAACCCTTTAAGAAAAAAAGCTCAGTGTCAGCTTATTCCCTTATTTTTAAATGCGTATGTCTGTCATATATTCATAACATTTAGCATTCAGTTTGTGTTGCCATCACTACAGAAAAAGGCTCTTACCGACTGGCACAACCAGTAGATGGCAGTGGCACTTTGTTTTTAAATGGAATTTAGATACAATTTTAGTGGTGTCTCATTGATTATACTTTTCTTTTACTATCCCATATGTATTTTCTTATCCAAGGACTGGTAAAGGTGAGACTCTCTTTTTCAGAGGAGTCTTGCTTCACACTTCACAGATCTGTGTTGACATGGCTGCGCAAAAGGAGTAAAGTCGTAGAAACAAAGCAGAGGGACATCGATATGATAAAAAAAGACCAAATTCATGATACTAAATATAAGGTGACATTTCACTGTGGAATTATTTTACTTTAGTGGGACTCAAAACCATTTTAGGCTGACACAAATCTTAGCATTTATTAATAATTGTTCATGTCGACGAGGAGCTAAAAGTAACATGTATTTTACATTAGGAATGACAATAGAAAGTTGGGATTTGGGGAAAAAACATTTAGAAGAACTGACATGGTTGTGGTTGTTGTGGGGTGTCTTTGTGTGTGTCAGATACTGTAAGATGGCTTATTGTGATACTGATTTGAACTGAAGTTTTAATAATCCATTCTGAGAGTGCTTGTCACCTCTTTGGCCCTAAGTACTAGTGAGTCAGAAATATTTTAACTGTGATAGTAGAAAATTAAAAAAATGAATTTGTCAGACGTGATTACACAAAAATCATAGCTGACATATTAGACCTTTTGCTCACAGAATGAGGAAGCAGCATGTGAACGAAACAACATTAGCAGTGTGGTATTTCCTTTCATTGTGAGTACAATCCTACACTATGCATGGTTATAAAAGCCAGGGTGTCCCCTTAAGTGATGGGAGGAAGAACAATTATGCAGGACACTGTGACAGCCATTGGCAGCTTTTTCAGCCACAGGCAGACTCACCACTGTATGAAGGAGGTATGGCAAGTTCTTCCTTCCTGCTGCTGTCAGTTGCAATTCTCCCAGTAGGCTGCACATACCAAGACTCAAAATTAATTTACTCGTTCATGTGCAATCAATATTATGTGCAATTTCAAATCCTGTGATATATTTTGTATCATAATTATGTGCCATAATCTATATCCTTTTTATGTGTATACACATTTTTTACTGATTACTTATTTACTATACTTGGTGTTTCCTCCTGTTGTTTCAGTGTTGGTGCTGTAACATTGTAGAAAGCCCTTTTGTGAGACTAATAAAGGATTACCCCATCTTATCATACTGTAAATTGATAACTTTTTGCCTTAAAAATGTGCCTCTCAGCCATTAAAGTTTCAAATAGTGACCAGATTAAAATTATCCATTTGAATTGAACCAATACTTCCACCAGCTAAAAGTACCAGGATGGAGCTGCCAAAAGGGATGACTGAGACATGAATCTTATCTACCCCAAAAGTTTATTTCAAAGTGTGTCAAAAGTGTGTTGCCTAGTTTAACAGCTTTTACCTCTGGCTTGATAGTAGACACGCAAACACCTCACACAACATGATACTACCTCTGAGTCCAAAGCAAAGTTATTAACTGGGTATTGGGGTGGCTCGTACAGATTGCCTTCTCGAATGTACTAACCAGTTAAACCTGCTTGAACAAAGACTTAACATGTCACTTTGGTGCCATATCAAGACAACTTGTATAGCATGCTGAGCATGTGATGTCATGAAGCTAAATGCTCTTTGCTGTTGAGGGGGAACATCATTATGTGTCTAGGATTTCAGCTGAAGTGTTCCAATGTGTCCCTCAACCAATCAGACTGGTTCAGATACTGATAATTACTCTCAAATAAGTTTAAGGAGGGGAAGAGAAAGATAACCATGCTTTTAATACCGTCTACTGGCTCATAGCGAGCAGAGATGGGAGTGTCAGGAGCAACAAAACAGGGCATTCTGGGAACCAGGCCAAAGACTGGTAAAAACTCCAGCAGGCCAGTAAGGACCCGTTAAGTTTTTGAAACCTTTTGAGTTGTACATTGTTGCCCATTTTTTATGTTTCAAATTGTATTTCACTAAAAGAGCTGCTCATAGAAAAAAGTACTGCCATGCAAAAGAGGATGAGACTTCATATAGAAAAACAGATACATGAATGTAAAGTGACAGTAAGTTATAGCCTATTCCATTTCACAGTGGCACTCCCACTGAAGCAGAGGTTCTCAGAGGATGAAAGGTCCCAGGTTTGAAACATGAAGGAGACAATACATGTATTTGTTCCCTCTGTCTCTGATTCTGCATGTGTCTGTCTGTGTTTCTTTGTTTTGTTTCTCCCTCTTCCTTTAATTCTATCCTTCCTTCATTCCATTCTACCTTTAGCCTAAATCCAGAAGTTCAGAGAGCAACTGTCATACTTCATTTTTTTTATACTGACAAAAACCTGGAGCAAGGGCTATAGGACAGGCAAAATTAATACGTCTCAAAACTCAGTACAGTTTAATA